CGGTATTGGATACCACCATTTTCATTTTTCTTAATCTGCTAGGTAGAATATGGCTTTGGATAAGTTTTTTTTTTTTTTTTTTTTTTTAACTAAATACTGATTACAGGGTACTATGTTTTTCTTTAAATAGTAAATATGCAGGGGATTAACCATAAATGCTTATAGAATGATTGATGACATATTGAAGTTAAAAGTGTACTGCTAAATTTTTAAATTGAGGTACAACGACAAATTGTATAAACCGTTCTTGTGCACAGTTGTATACCTGGGCAGATAGTCACAAACACCACCAAAATCAAACACTCCCATCACCCCAGAAGTTCCTTCAGGCTCCAGTCCTTAACTTTCCTATCATCTCCAGCTCCTCAACTGATTCCCCTCTCATAGTGTCTTACCAGTAGAATTCTGTTGGGTTAACCTTTTGTGTCCGATGTCTTCAGTTTACAGTAATTCTTTTGAAGTTAATTCATGTTGCAAGTATCAGTTCCATTGTGTAGTGCTCTACTGATTTAGTATCAATTGTTTATTCACCTGATTAATGGACAGGTAGATTTTTCCAGTTTGGGGATGTTTATTATTTTTTGTTTTTGTTTTTCTTTTCTTTTTTTTTTTTTTTTGCGAAACCAAGGATTGAACTCAGGCCCTTGCACTTGGCAGGAAAGCGCTTACTCCACTGAGCCATCTCCCTGGCCCTTGGGGATGTTTATTATTAAGCCACCATAAACACCATGAAGGTTTCTGTATACAATGCTTTCATTTGTCCTGGGTTATACATTGGTGTGGTATTCCTGCGTAATGTCAGTTGTGGTTAATTTTATAGGAAACTATGGTTTTCCAAAGCATGTTTTTCTAATGGCTGCTCTCCATTCTTGGCAATTATTGTTTTTAGATTTATCGTGTTAGCCATTATTGTAGGTAGTTGTATTATGTCATTGTACTGACCTTTTTTAATGATTAGCGATTTTGTGATCAAAAAATACAGTGACTGTTTAAATCCTTTTTTTTTTCTTCTATATTTCAGACAGGGTCTTCAGGGTCTCACTATGTAGATCGGACTCAGTGATTCTCCTGTTTTCAGCCTCCCAAGTGCTAGCATTACAGGTGACACCACCACACCCAGTCTCAATTGCCGGCTCAGTGCACCCTGCGGGCAGGACCCAGCATGGCACACCAGGGATCAAGCCCTGGCTGCTGCGCCCTGCCTAAGCAGGCACTGTAGTTCGATTAGCTATCAGACCAGCCTTTTAAATCCAGTAAAGAGGTATTGCCACTAATCCTTTGCAAACTACTCCCCCACACACTCACACACCTGTTTTTCTGTGTGTTTTTGAGCTTTTTAAATCATTTATTTATTTGGTGCAGGATCTTGCTACACAGTTCCAACTTGTAGTGATCCTCCTGCCTCAGCCTCACCAGCACTGGGATTACAGGCATGCGCCGCCACACCCAGTTTGGTTTGTGAGCCAGCACAGAGTGCCCTGGGTTCCAGGGCCAGCACAGCATGTCATACTGGGGATCAAACCCAGGTCCTTGTGCTTGCCATGCAGGTGCTTAGACCACTAAGCTATCGCCCCAGCCCTGCCACACATTCACTTTGGACACAGACTTTTGCTGCTTTCTAAAGCAGTTTTGAAAGTCCTCTTTCTTAAGTATCTTCAGTTGTGCAGTCATAGCTACCTTGATGTTCTGAATGGATTAAAAAACATTCATTTTGTACAATCGTTTGACTTTGGTGTACAGCCTGATGGAATGAATGAAGCAGAGAAGGGCACAAAATAAGTGTTTTTATGTGTCTGCCTTTCTGCTGAATGGCACTGGGCAGCAGTATAAGTAAGTATATATTGGAGCATAGCGCTTAAACACAGAAGAGAATTTCCAGGACTGCATTAGACAGTGGCAAGAATGACAGGATAAGTGTTTCTATAATAAATTGTAATTTTCTTGGTAAGTTAAGAGAGCCCTTTATATATTCTGGTTACAAGCTGTTTACAAGATCTGTTATATAAATATTTCAAGTTTTGTCTTTTTATTTTGTCACACCTTTAAATGAGCAGAAGCTTTAAATTTGATAAAATCCAACTCAAAGATTTTAGTTCTCCTTTTTTGTATGTGTACTTTTATGTCTTATCTAAAATATAGGGCTGGGGAGATAGCTCAGTAGGATAAGCACTTTCCTGGCAAGAGCAAGGTCCTGAGTTCAATCCCCAGTACCACAAAAATAAAATAAAAACACTTCACACACAGTCACAATGATTTCTCTTGTGTTTCCTCAATAAGCCTAGAGTTTTGGGTTTTACAATGACCTATGGTTTATTTCCAGTTGATTTTGATACACAATAGTCAGACTTCTTATTTACTAGCTTTTAATATGTGACTGTCAGGTGTTCCAGATTAACTTCGTTGACAAAACAGTGTATTAATTACTTAGGTAGCTTTAGGGACATAATTGACTCTGAGTTTGTATTTGTGTGTGCATATTTTATGCCAGCTTTCTTAAAATTCATTATCTCTAAAAGCCCTTAAAGTTATTTGTGCTATTCTGCACTTGCAGTTAATCTCAAGACTTTCTATTCTAATTTAGTATTATAGTAATAACATTTCATGTAAATGTGTGCATACACATACATCTTACATATAGCTAAGAACAAGAACATAAAATAAGATGGACTTTAAAAGCATTTTGAAGTTGCATGATTTAATTGTTTAATAATCAAAATTCTCATGACAACTGTATTGTTTACTCTGGTATTTTAATAGGTTATTTCTGTCTTCAGAGTGGGTTTTTTTGGGGGGGAGAGTGAGGGGTTTGGTTTGTTTGAGGGGAGTTTTTGTTGGTTGGCTGGTTTTGTTGTGATGCTGTGGATCAAATCCAGGGTCTTGCTCACATTGCACCAAGAAAGTACTGCAACAGTGAGCTATACCCCCCAGCCCCGTTTTTGTCTTTTGAAGATGTTCTTCAGTAGAAGATTCATAAAATTTTGTCTAATCCCATTACATGCAAAGTAGTTGTGGAAAGCTCAAGAAACATGTCTTCTGACAATCTCGTAAGAGTGTAATAGTACATTTATGAGGGGGAAATGATCACACTGGACATTAGAAGGCACTAGAGAAAAGGTGTTATTTGATATCTGTGGTACTTGCGAAGAGAAAGGAATGATTGAATCTTAACCTTGAGGAGCTAGGTAGGAAAGCAAATAAACTTGGAATAAGGCTTTGAGTAGGTTTTTTTTAAAAATGTCCAGAGACAACTGTTTAGGTATGGTATAGAAGGTTCAGTTCTTAATCCTGTGTGGCAGATTTTTATTCCTCTTCTGATTCAAGTAGTACATTCTTCGTGGTGGGTTTATAATCGTAATACCATTATTAAGATGTCTAGAACTTGAATTTTTTTTTTTTTAATGTATTTGGTACAGGGTCTTGCTATGCAGCTCAGACTTGTATAGTGATCCTCTTGTTTCAACCTCCCCGGTGCTGGAATTACAGGTGTGTGACACAACACCTGCTGCCGGTGGCTGGCATGGCGTACCCGGGGTGGGACCAGCATGGCATGTGGTACCAGGGATTGAGCCTGGGTCTCAGTGCTTGCCAGACAGGCACTTAGACCGCTGAGCTAGCTCCTTGGCCCCAGGACCTTAAATTTTTTTAGGCAGCAGAGCATGTCCTATCACTAGTTTTTTCTTACAGTTTCTGGCACATACTTACTATGCGTTGGAAAATAGAATGTATTTTTGTCCCACTCAACTTTTGACTTTCTAAAATTCGGAGTCATTTAAATGAAGGTGAAAGATAAAATTATGTGTAATTACTGTGTAATTAATTAAAGCACCTTTTTACTAGCATTTTATTTTATCTCCATGCCTTAAAAAAGTGGACTCTGCATAGCTTATTACATACTTTGTCTTTCCACATTTGAGGGTTCGCTTTTCACGTTTCCTCTGGTTTTTTGGTGGGTTTTTTGTTTTGTTTTTATGGAACTGGGGATTGAACTCAGGCTCTTGTGCTTGCCAGGCAAGTGCTTATTCTACTGAGCCATCTCCCTGGCCCCCCTTAAATCATGATATAGTTTGTGTATTAACTTTTCTCTGCTAGGAATTCAGAAGGGACAAAGATAGTAGATGAGTGTGCTCCTAAGCCAGGTGTGGTGGCACACATCTGTAAACCTGAGACAAGAGGATGATCAAGAGCTTAAGGTCAACCTGAGCTACATACTAAGTACAAAAAGACCAACGTTAGGGTTGTTACCTATGTTGTTGAGAAGTATGTCAAATGGCAGTGTCTGGATTTGCTTTTTGTGTTGAACTCTTATTAAAACAGAGTAAGGTTTTTTATAAGCACTTTAAGTGGATTGGGACATGTGTGTAGCTTGAGTTTTAAGAGGGTAGTTTAAGGAAGAATCAAGGAACCTAGTGGAACATGATCCAAATGAAGTAGAAGTGACTGGAATGATGTGGCGCTATATAGTTTTATCTGTACGTATTAGCACAGATGGTGCCTGGTGTTTGTGAAAGGCAGTATCATACTCCAAAGACTATTGTGGGCTGTGTTTGGCTTTAAAATTTTTTTTTTTTTTAAAGAAACCTGTATTGGAACTTAACTAGGAATTTAACATGCATTCTGTATGTTTTGTTTTTGTGGCACCAGGGATCAAGCTCAGGACCTTGTGTTTGCCAGGCATGCACTTACTCCGCTGAGCTATCTCCCCAGCCCTTACATGCATTGTGATTTGCCCAATAGATAGACAAAGGTTAGGGGTAATTTTTGACTTTCTGGGGGCTATGAGCATAAAGTAAATGATGAAAGGTTTTGTCTTAATTTTCCTTGGGACAAAAGGAAATATATATGACTGGGAACTTACTGTTCTGCTGTTACTAATTTTTAGTAAATGAGTTCTCTTTATTCCCATTCATTTGTCTAGATGTAAAATAAAAGATGTATCTCGTATGGCTTATAAAGACAGCGTCGTGACAGCTGTTGTTCTTATTCCCTCCCCCCTCCCCCAGCGTCTGACCCTGTGCAGCAAAGAGATGGTTATGGAGAAGCCCAGCCCGCTGCTGGTGGGGCGGGAGTTCGTGAGGCAGTATTACACTTTGCTGAATAAAGCACCAGAGTACTTACACAGGTGAGCTGGACATTGATTGTTGAGTATTTTTATTTAGCTTTATTTTATTTTCTTGTTATTACTGTGTATTTTACCTTTCCCATCTTATAACTTGATGGTTTGGTTTGTTTCAGTACTGGGGATTGAACTTGGGACCTTGTGCTTGCCAGGCAGGTGCTTATGCCACTAAGCTATATCCACAGTCCTTGACATTATTTTTATAAACATCTTTAAGCCATATCCAATACTTTCAACCATGTGATGGCTAAACCAGTCTTTTTTTGTGTGGTTTTTAGCTGCTGAGTAGAGTGAAACACATTTCCTAGTACATAACAAACACATTCGTGTTTATATACACATTTTTAATATACACTGTTATATTTCCTTTTTAAAAGCTGGCCATGGTGACACATGCATGTAGTTCTAGTAAAGCCTGGGAACTTAGTGAGACCCTATCTGAAAGTCAATGGCAGGTGCTAGGGATGCAGATCAGTACAAAAGCCTGGGTTCAGTTTCCAGTGCTACAAAAAACTAGTAGGATTTGACCAAGTGATAGGTTCCCATATGCAGTTAGAAACAAGTGGCTTAAAGGCAGGAACGGTGAAACATGCTTGTAGTTAGTCCTAGCTACTTGGGAGGTAGCATGGAAGAATCAATCACAAGTCCAAAGCGAGCCTGGGCAAGTTGTAAGACTCTCCCTGAAAATTAAAAAAAAAAGCTGAGGAAGTAGCTTCAGTCTTCCCTGGACATAATCCCCAGGAACAGAGAAACTCATGGTTCAAATCATCTTTTTAAATTCTCACAGTGTTGGAAAATGAATGTGTTACATGCCTGAGAAAATTTATATTTCTTCTAATATGCAGAATACTAACAGAACAGTAACAGTGTTCACTACGTTGGCAGAATTACTTACGATCAGTCAAGGTTTTGTTTCCCCCTCACAGAGGTTCAAGTGAAATTAGTTTATATTGTAAGCAGTTCTGGTTAGTTTTGTTCTTCTGAGTATGTGTATACTTAGTGCAATCTGAAGTATAGAAGAAAAGAGTAGTTCCTGAGACTTTTTTGTTGTTATAGAACACACTGGCTATATTAAAGATGGATACTATATATCATGGCAGCTTCCTTTGAGGAAGGTTGTTTAAACACTTAAATTCCTGTATCTGGTGGTCTTCTAAAAATTAGGCATTCTAAAAGATTTTGCAGTTTGTCTTATACTGTTGAACATATGTAAGATATTGTCTTAATCTGAGAGGCAATTTTTTTTATATTCACTATTTGGTACGTATTAATGAATACATACTTGTTATCTCATAGAATTGTTAGTGCAATCTTATAAAGTAAACCTACTATAATTATCACACTTTACATATGAGACAACTGTGGCTAGAAATTAATTCAGGAAGATTACAAGATCACTCACAAGCTGTAGCCAGTATTCAGGCCGAATTTTGGCTAGAGAGTCTTACTTGAGTGTAGTGTACCTTAACATTGTGAACATAACTCGTCCCCCAAAAACCAGATCACATGGTGAGAAGCTATGTTTTTCCAATCATGAGAGTAGAGTTGTACTTGTTAAGAGCATATGTGAAAGAGTTGGAGAGAAGAAAGTAATAGGGCCTGAGACATGCAGTTTTGTATACCTAATACTGATACATTGTATATTTTTAAGTTTCTGGAATAACTAAATTGTATCAAAGATAGGATCATTTCTACAGCTTTTCATATACATATACTTAAAAAAGTACATACATTTAGAAATAGAGGGGAGTGCTTAAAAGTGTGGACTCTGGAGCCAAAGGGGCTGAGTTTTATCATAACTAACCTGCTTGATAATACCTCTTCTGGACCTCAGTTTGCTCCTTTAAAAAAAAAAAAAAAACAAGGTCTCACCATGTAGTTTAGGCAACTTCAAACTCACTGATGTAGCCCAGGGAGACCTTGAACTTGCAGTATCTTCCTGCCTCAGCCTGCCAGTGCTGGAATTATAGACATACACCACCATATCACTTTGTACAAAAAAGTTCAATTTGTATCTTTGATAACCCTTTATTTAAATGTATTTAGGATAGGGTCTGCAGGGTCTCACTACGTTGATTGGACTCGTAGTGATTCTCTTATTTTCAGCCTCCCAAGCACTGGGATTACAGGTGCACGCCACCACGCCCAGTCTCAATCCCCTTCTCAGAACGCCACTGTGCTCTCCCTAAGCAGGTGCTTTAGTCTGCTAAGCTATCTGGCTGGCCCTTGGTAACCGTAATTTAGAAAGTTGTTAATTATTACTGCTTGATACAGTGCCAAGAGAGCGTCTGATTTGTCATGTACTTAAGATTAAGAGCAGGATAAAAATACTAAGGAGAAATTTTGGGGTTTAGGGGGTATTTTTGTTGTTTTTGGAGACAGTCTCACTTTTGCAGTTCAGGCTAGCCTTGAACTCAAATCGATCCCACTGCCTCAGCCTCCCAAGTACGAAGATTACAGATGTTCGCCACCATGCCTAGATTAATGAGAAGTTTGATGCTGAAGTAACTGTAGATTTTTTTGTTTACTTGTCTGAATTATTTCAGTTATACCTAAATATTTGACCAGGCATGATGGCGCACACCTGTAATTCCAGCACTCCAGAGGCTAAGGTAGGAGAATCACTTTGAGTTGGAGGTCAGTCTGGGTTACATATGATTTGAGACCAGCCTGAACTAACTACATACATAACAAAATACTGTCTCAACAGCAACAACAAAAAAGAATTAGTAATTTGGATCTCTGAGAGTGAACAGAGCTTTGATCCTGAGACAAATCTAAGGCAGTGAGCTTTTGTATCAAGAAAAAAAGGATGTTTCTACCAAAAAAGAAGCTATCTGTATTTAAAATGTACTTTATCTCATTCTTCCATTTCATAAAGTAAAGATCTGATGTGAATTACATGTGAGTAGCTAATGATCATCTACTTACTGTGCCAGGTAAACTAAGCATCAGTCTGTGTGTTACTTATTGAATCCATAGGAAATGCTATGGAATCCATAGGAGAAGGTATAGAGGTAGTTACTTTACCTGTTTTATTATCAAGAGAAGTGAATCTGTGGATTAAAAGTACGTAATTTGTCTAAGATTATATGTCTGTTTAGTAACAGCTGTATCTGGAGCCTAGTTTCATTTTTAACACCAGAACTCTATTGCCTCTTAGACATTTTGACAGTTGACAGTATATAATTCCAAATGATTTTGTAGGTTTTATGGCAGGAATTCTTCCTATGTTCATGGAGGAGTAGATGCTAATGGAAAGCCCCAGGAAGCTGTTTATGGCCAAAATGTAAGTTATTCATATTTTATTCATATGTTTTAAGTGTTTAAATATTTTTGTGTTGAGATTTGTAAATAGTTTTTATTAATGAAAAACATGAGAGGTATAGTACATCATTATTTTCAAAGTAGGTGCTGAGTGCAAGACATAGATAAGATTCTCTTACAAGGAAACTGATTTCAAAAATAGCCTGCTTGTACTCATGATTTCTCCAATATGATCATTAGAAGCTCACCAAGATGAGTTTCAGTAGTAACTAAATGTGTTTTGAATTCTTAAACATTGATTTTGTTTGAAAAGTGGTATTATATTGGGGTGGGGGGGACACAGGAGAAAATGGCATGCTACATAACCTTGGCTTGCAATACAATGTATGGACTTTGTGCAATTGTGAGCCAAACCTTATGTCACAGGAATGCACAAAAATACATACTCTTCATGACTTTACAGGAAGGAAGGACTTTGTAGAGGATGTGGAACTTGGGTTAGACTCCAGGATTTGGCCTCAACAAAGAAATTAGAAGTAGAAACATAGTACCAGTAAGCATCATAGTAAAGTAAAATTAGGTGTGAAGAAGCAGTCAGTACAGTAGAGTTCATAAGACTGGCTAAAGTACTACCAAACTGTAGGAGAAAGGAGTGTAAAGCCAGATGATTGCAGTGTCAGAGAGGTCCTCCTTCATTTCCTGCATAGAATGGAAGTGTTGAACATGGTGGTTAGGAGCAGCAGTCCACAGGGAGGTGGGACATGGTAGAGTGGGTCAGAGCAGGAAAATCAAGGAGTTACCATTTCAAGAGTTATGAGGAAGGTAACAAGGGTAGGTATCAGTACTGTGCGGGTAATGCAGAATCACCAGACTTTTGTCCTCCCCTTTCCTGTGTAGGACATACACCACAAAGTGTTGTCTCTGAACTTCAGTGAATGCCACACGAAGATCCGCCATGTGGACGCACATGCCACCTTGAGTGATGGAGTTGTTGTCCAAGTCATGGGCTTGCTGTCTAATAGTGGGCAGCCAGAAAGGAAATTCATGCAGACCTTTGTTTTGGCTCCAGAAGTAAGTTTACATTTATTTCACTTACATGATGAAATTTGGTTGCTATTAGTTTGTTGAATTAAGAGTTTCTTCTGATAGGTTTAGATTTGTATACTACTCTATTTTTGAGACATTTTGTTGGACCTATTAAAATAATTTATATGAACTTTTTGTGTAGTGCTTTAACTATTTATAATTAAAAGAGATGAGAACTAATGTAAATAGATTACTAATACTATAGAAATAATACAGAAATTGCTTGCATGTATTTGGAAGGTAGGTAATATTTTGGAAAAAAGGAAAAGTGTTTATGAATTTCTTAGGCTCTTATATTCTTTAGGTGATCCTTTTTAGTTTATTTTTTTGTCAACAATAGCATATTTAACTTCGGAAAATTGGGTGCATTCTCATGTTGAAATTGTATATGCCATATAATTTGTTCTTTTAATGAAATACCACTTCTATGGATATTCATGAAATACTTGCATATTGCTTTCCCATAGGGGTCTGTTCCAAATAAATTTTATGTTCACAATGATATGTTTCGTTATGAAGATGAAGTATTTGGTGATTCTGAACCAGAACTTGATGAAGGTGAGGTTACTCTGAAGATAAAAGGGTTTTTATACATATGAAACTTGTAGAAATTGTTTTCTTTTTATTACTAATAGATTCTGTTGAAGTAGAGTGGAAAAAATGTGCTTGTTCTCTTCAGGTTTTTGAGCGATCAGGGAATATTGCAGTTAAATGACTTTGTAAATGATTTCCAGTTTTCTTTGTACCACCATACCATTTCCTTAAACACACTAAAAGTATGTGTGTTAAAAATTATGGAAAAACCCCAGGGTATGCTGGTACATGTCTGTAATTCTAGCACTCAGAAAGCTGAGACAGGATCACTGTATTTTCTGAGGCCAGCCTGGGCTACAAAGTCAGTTCAAGGCAAGCCTGAACTAGCAAAAACTCTGTCTCAAAAAGATAAAAAGATAAATAAAGGAAACTATGGAAACACTCTTTTAAAAAGATATCATATACTGTGTATTATCAGAATCAGAAGATGAAGTGGAAGAGGAGCAAGAAGAAAGACAACCTTCTCCGGAACCTGTGCAAGAAAATGCCAACAGTGGTTACTACGAAGCTC